AAAAAAAAAAAAAAAAAAAATTAGCCAGGCATAATGACGCATGCCCGTGGTTCCAGCTACTTGGAAAGTTAAGACAGAGGGCTCGCCTGAGCCCAGCAGATCGAGATTGCAATGGCCATGAGTGTGCCAGTGCACTTCAGCCTGGGTGACAGAGTGAGACTCCAACTCAAAAATAAAACAAAATACAAGGCTGGGTATGGTGGCTCACACCTGTAATCCTCCTGTGGGAGGTGGAGGCTAGAGGATTATCTGAGCCCAGTGGTTCAAGACCAGCCCGGGCAACTTGGTGAGACCTTATCTCTAAAATAAATTTTAAAATTAGCCAGATGTGGTGGTATGCGCCTGTAGTTCCACTTCTCTAGCTACCTGGAAGGCTGAGGCGGAAGGCTCACCTGAGCCCAGCAGGTCAAGGCTGCAGTGGCCATGAACGTGCCTCTGTACTCCAGCCTGAGCGACAAAGTGAGACTCTGGCTTTTTTTTTTTTTTTAAAGTATTGTCAGATGGGCTTGGTGGTTCAGCCTGTAATCCTGTGCTTTGGGAGGCTGAGGTGAGTGGATTGCCTGAGTCCACGGGTTCGAGACTCAACTTGGCGAGACCTCATCTCTACAATAAAAAAATAAAAAAATCAGCCAGGCATGGTAGCGCGTGCCTGTAATTCCAGCTACACAGAAGGCTGAGGTGGAAGAATTGCTGGATCCCAGTCGGTCGAGGCTGCAGTGGCCGGGAGCGGCTACTGCACTCCAGTATGGGTGACAGAGTGAGACTCCAATGCAGAAAAAATAAAAATAAAAAATAAAACAAAGGATTGTCCATAAAGTTTGGATTCTTACCTTCTATAAAGGCCTTCTGTTCTAATAAATTATGGCATGCCAACATTAGCTAATAGCTCAAAGCAAAATGTCCATCAAAAGCGGATGGTTCATGAGTACTGATGGCAGATGGAAATTCATATTTTTAAAAATCTTGATGCATTTGAATTTTTTCCTTCCCCTAACATCTTCTTGCATGAATGTCACCTCCTCCAAGAAGCCTCTCTGACTTTCTAGCCAGGGTGGGCCCCCTTCTTCTGAGCTCCCACAGTCCTTTGCTGACTTCCATCACTGCACTTAGATGGGGAACTGGAATCATCCACAGCTGCTGTGCATTCAAACCTTGGTTTATCTGTCCCTGTCCCCACCATGAAGACCAAACTGAGACAGACAATTACCACAGCAGAGGGTGCTCGGCCACACAGCAGAGGCGGTGTTTAAGCGGAGACCCAGAAGGACTCAGAGGGAATGCTGGGAGAGAGAGAGAGAAAGAAAACGGAGAGAAGGGAGGACAGGAAGGAAAAAGGGAGAAGAGAAAAAAAGAGTGAGAAAGACACATAAGGTGGGTCAGAGTCAGCATGGGGCTGCTTGGCCACCTGCTTCCGGGCTCGGCCTCTCCCGGGCCCTCCCCCAGGCCACAGCATGGCTGCCCAGAGGTGCCCCAGGCGCAGCCCCGCTGCCACTGCCCACCGGCCGCACCTTCTCGTGCTTGCGCAGCAGCTCGTGCCGCTGGAGGAAGTACTGGTCCTTGAGCTGCTGCTTCACCAGCTGGTGCCTCTCCTGCAGCTGGTGCTCCTCCATCTCCCACAGGGCCGCCTCCCGGTCTGTGGAGGACACGCCAGTGCCGTGAGGGGCTGCCAGCTGGAGACCTGACAGCCCCCCACCCTCTGCCAGGCCTCCAAATGCTGTGATTGGTGACTGGGCATCACCACATGTGCCACCTCGTGAGACCATGCCAGCTGATCTGAATCCTAGACATTTCCTTGAAGCCTAAGGGAAGCCTCCCAGCAGCGTGTTACAGCAGGCAGTATTCAAAGTCAGGAGCCAAGGCCGGGCTCAGTGGCTCAGCCTGAGCCTGCGGGTTCGAGACCAGCCCAGGCAACTTGGTGAGACCTCATCTCTACAATAAAAATAAAAAAATTAGTTGGGCGCAGTAGCACGTGCCTGTAGTTTGGGCTACTTGGAAAGTTGAGGTGGAAGGATCACTGGAGCCCAGCAAGTTGACACTGCGGTGACCATGAGTGTGCCACTGTACTCCAGCCTGGGCGACGGAGTAAGACGTCAACTCAAAAAAAAAAAAGTCAGGAGCCAAAGAAGCTGCAGGTGGAGGCTAGATCCCAGCTCCATCACCGGGATTTGGGATGGTTGAGGGTCCCCTCCCGGCCTCAGCTTCCATCTCTGTCAAATGGGCACAACTAAACTAAGGAAGAAGGGAACATCCTTGGGAGGCACATTCTCTCTCTCTCTCTCTCTCTCTCTCTCTCTCTCTCTCTTGTTTTTTTTGGGTTTTTTT